CCCCAAAACCCCAAAACCCCAAAACCCCTGTTCTAATGCTCAAACCTTGAACCATTCTTCATCCCTTTAAATCCACAAATCCTGAACCTATTTCTCAATGCTAATACCTTTAAAATTGTCCAAATAGCTCTAAACTCTCTACTTTTATCGATTTCGCTTTTTTTATCTTCCTATCTCCTTCTACTTATAACAGCTCTTCATGATAAGACTCTCTATTTTACAGCATATCCGTATAGCCCTAAAAGCCATGATAATGAGGTATTAGAAAATCAGAGATTTTAAATTAAAATGAAATGACTCTTGAAGTTGTTTTATAACTTTCACCACTAGGTAGTTAATAAATACAAATTTAAGAATTAATTATAAAGGCCATCTAATGTGATCACGGGATATAATTTCACTATTCGGGCTAATACCTTTCACAACTCAATTTCTGTTTCATTTGGTTCTGAAAATCCCCCATTTGCTGGAAAAAAGACCACTGTTTTATATGTTATATTTAATCTCGGTATTCCTTGAGTGGCACTTTTCATACCATTAAGATGCTTTACATACCAATCTAAACACCTCCACTGCTCATATGTTAAGTCTGAAAGATTAATCCTAATTTGTTGGAGTCCAGAAGAATAGAGAGCTTCAATGAATGGTAAAGAAGGTATAGAATCCTTTAATCTCAATTCTTCAAACTTATCACCAAACTTTTTGGACTGTTCTTTTCATAGTAAAAGATTTTCAAATTCTCTGTCATTTTTCGAGCGGCATAATGGATGCAATTTTTTGATTCTTTGATGAAATTCTAGAACTCTGGATTTTCTGACATTCTCTTTTATAATTTCCGTGAAAATAGTTATTTCATACTCCTCTTTCTTAGATCAGTCAAACTTCAAATTATCCAAATCCATAAATTTCTTTCCTTTCAGAGACACTCTTGCTATCTCCCACATCCTCGGCTCAATTCTTTCTCTAAACCCTATGAACACTTCTCTCTGAAATGTCAATTTAACATCCCCTCCAATATCCCTGAGCACCTCCATAATCTCAGTCGTATCTCTAAACTCCTTCTTCTCCAACACCCTCAACGCCTTTCCATTCCTCCTCCAAAACCCCCTACTCTGCCTATTCATCCCCTCCATGACCCTCTGCCAATCTCCCCAAAACCCATAATAAGGCAACATTGTCATATAAAACCCTGCTATTACCAGCACTTTCCTACTTTTCTCCATAAATCTCTAAAAAAATTACCCTTAAATCCTCTTAGGGTTCTTATAATTGGGCCTCCACAGGATAAATTCTTAACAAATTTTGAAATTTTTCTACTGAAATGTACTGGATTTTTGGAATTTAGGATGAAAAGTGGTGAAATTGGGGATGAAGGAGGATTTTGGGATTGGGAAAATGGGAATAGAGGGAATTTTGGGGGTTTGGGGTGGGGTCAAGGGGTTGGTTTTGGGGGTAGGGGAGTGAGGTAAGGGGGAAGGTGCTTGGGTGAAGTCTGATGGGGGTTAAGTTATACCAAAGTGTGAAAAGGTCTTAGTTTTGACAAATTGAGAATTGCTTCTTAATTTATGAGTCAAAACGATAAGAAAGATTGAAAGTTTTACTGTTGTTTGCCATTAGAATAAATATTCTCATCTCCATCAGTTCATTTATAAATTGCTCTCTTTCTTTTGGAATATCTTTACAGCCGTTTACATGAAATATGATCGATCTTTTTTTGGGAATTGTACTTTTGGGAAAAGTTTTTGAATAATTCTGGACTCTTCTCAACTGATCAGAAGTCAAGGTTGTATACTCTAAGGTAGTTTGGATGAAGCCCATATCATAGATGAATCAGATCAGGAAGAAACTTGGCAAGCAATTTTTAAACTTCATTTCAGTAATTTTATTAGCAAGAGTATTTTCTTTGAGAAAACCATTCAGCACGTCTGAATTCCTTAAGCTTAGAATGCCTCTTAAATGTCCATTTATGGATAAGAGATTTTCGAATTGCAGGACCCTTGCTTGAGTAATACACTTTTGAGCAATAATGATGAAAAATGCGATTTCATTTAAGCTGTTATCACAAAAATCAAAGCTAACGGTATCTCAGCTTGTAAGTGCTTTATCTTCCAAAGCTTTTGACAACTCTACCTCTGTTCTGGAATTTGATGATATTAGAAATTTAATCCTCAATTTTTTGTCAAAAGTGATGTCTGCTTGGATCCCAAACTTTCCAAGAATCTCTATGATTTCAGTTGTGTCCCTGAACTTCATCTTATCCAATGTCCTCATCGCCACCATGTTATTCTTCCAAAACAGTCTACTCTGTTTGCTAAGGCTTATCATAAGCTTCTTCCAATTCTTATAATATCCAAAATAAGGCAGCATTGTAATATAAAATCCCGACTTGCTAAATATCTCTTTTCTGCTATCCATTCAATTATTGCCCAATTTCCCGGGGTTTTGGGGTTTTGGGGTTTTGGGG